AGGCATTGTCCGTACCAAGCAGAGACTGCGTGAACTTTTCTGGTGGCCACAACTGGACAAATTTGTACATTCTGTCATTGCTTCCTGTGTTAACTGCCAGTTCAGTGATAAGGTAGCCATAACTGCTCCTGCTCCACTCACTCCAGTTGAATTCCCTAGTAAACCATGGGAAAAAGTTGCAATAGACATTACAGGTCCATTTGAAAATGCTACATGGGACTGCCGTTATGCTATTGTACTTACAGATTACTACAGCAAATGGCCTGAGGTTGCATTCAGTTCTACTGTCACTACAGATGTTATCATTCGTTTTTTAGCCACTGTGTTCAGTAGGGAAGGTAATCCGATGTATCTTGTCTCAGATAATGGTTGTCAGTTTACTTCTCATGCATTTAGTACTTTTCTGAGAGAGAGAGAGATACAGCACTTAAGGTCCAGTGTATACTACCCTAAAGCAAATGGTGCTGTGGAAAGATTCAACAGAGTACTTAAGGAGTGCATACAAACATCTGAAAGAAGTCACAGCTCATGGAAGGAAGCTGTAACAGAATTCCTGCACAACTACCGAGCTACTCCTCATGCAACCACCGGAGTAACCCCATTTGAGCTACTGAGAAACAGAAAGATGCGCACCAAGTTAAACATACTCCCAGTAGAACTGAAAAGCAAAACACATGCCCAAATACAACAGAGGGTGAAACAAAAGCAAAATAAAATGAAGGAATACACAGACAAGAAAATGAGAGCTAAAGTACCAACAGTCAAAGTGGGTGACACTGTTCGTGTTCGCAGACCTGAGCACGTTTCCAAAGGATCTTCAAGATTTACAGAACCACGGACTGTCATAAAGAAAGTTGGACAAAACACTTTCTTACTAAGTGATGGACGCAAGTGGAATGCTTCAAAACTTGCACACTTCCCAAAACAAACCTTAACTGGTTCAGAACAAAACAGTGATACTGTATTTGATACCTTTGCACTGCCAGGAAACACTAATGAACCTGCTGCTGTACCTAGAAGAAGTCAGAGATCTAGAAATGCACCAAGATGGTTGACAGGTTTTGTAAGATAAAGTGAAAATTAATGTAACCACTCCTGTTCAGAATGGTATTAGTGTTCGGTAAGACAAGTAAAGATTACTACTGTTCTGCTAAAGTAAAATACAGTAAAAATAAATAGGTTTAAATGTTCATCCTGTAATGCTTATGGTTAACAGTGAAACTGGTAATTTTATTCTAATGCTGATATTCATTTAATGTACTGTTGCTACTTGAGCTAATATGGTTCGTAAACTTTTCAGATTACTGTTGGCTTGCTGAAATGGTAATTTTACAAACTTAGTTTCCTGCTGTCAGTTATACAGTGCAAATGTAAGTAATTGCTTCAGGAAAAGGGAAAATGTTATGTCTTGTTATTGCATGTAAAGGACAGCAGGGGGAGCTCTGAC